CGTTTGTAAAGGAGCAAATTAAAAAAATGGACACAAACGAGTTCAAGACCAATCTCGAAGTAAATTATCTTCACGAATGAGCTCGAGCCCAAAACGAACAAGCTGAGCTAAACTCAAGCTCCAATTCCACAAAAACTTAATCTGGCCTAGTTCGACCTCGACTCTTGGCTTGTATGACAATCAAGCTCAAGCCAAGCTCACAGCTTTTATAAGTAGCCTAGTTCTAACCTCCAAGGCTTGCCTTCGCTCACCTCATTATTAGTTATACCTATAGCGTGCAAGAACATTTATTCAATAAAGATAGTCCTAACAGGTTAAAGTTATGGATTCCTTCTTACATGACCTAATATGCTTTTGAAAAGCTTATAGCAAGTGCCACATATGATATACATTGGTGTATTAAGTTATTAACGTCATACTTGGACTACAACAAGGTTATGTATTGTTTCAGTTATATTCTTTTAATTTTTCAAAGCTATCCATATTCATCTGTAATTTCCACCACCAAAGACATTTCTCTCATCTGGTTCCTTGCGCAATACTAAGAAAGAAAATGACAAAGCCAGCTTACCTAAGACAAAGCTCTAATAGAGATAGTGGTTTTTTTGAAATCTTTAACTAATATTCCTATGTGATTAGAGAACAATCCACTCAAGCTACAACAGAAAGAACCAAATTTTCTATATATGTAATTTGTAAAAAGTAATTTCTTACTTTATGCTAAGTTAAAATAATTTTTCTCAAAACAAGTACTAGTGTATACAATGAGAATTGTAAATGACTAAGTGATCTTTAGCAAAATCAGTAGATCAACTGTTCAGATATTTAAGACAATTATCTACAAACTGATTGACTTGTAGTAACTGGGCTTAGGGATTAAGCAAATATATACTATGAACTGTTGCATTTTGTACTGCTTTTTCTTTGCAGATCAAAGGCTTCATTTCTTATTGATTAACTAATGAATATTTCTTTACATGTGTTTAAATATCTACTGCACATTAAACAATAAGAATTTCTATCAAAGCAGAGTATTACCTCTTTTTCTCCATCTCATATGTATTAGCAAGACTTTTTCTCTCCACACTTGTGATATCCTGAGAATAAAGGAGAGAAGTATAATTGGTAGTATAGATAATTCTAGATCAATTATACACAAATATACCAGTGGAAATACTAACTGGCCCTAGCATCTTATAAAAAAATAGTGAATGAATGATAATTGGTAGCACAAATAAGGCTTTATGGATGCAAGGCACAAAGATTTATTTCTTGAAATCCCTGTAATATTGGAAAGAGTTTGTTCTTCTGGTTTTTTGCTCACTTGTAATTACTACAGGTGAGTGCACATGAGACTTGTGTGTTCCGTTCAAGAGTTTGGCGTATCGATCATAAGAATTTGCAATCATGGAAACCATACGACGCAACAGATTTCTTCTAAAAAGAAATATCACGGAAACGCCTTTGTTGTTGAAGTACACAACAATTTCCTTGTTGCACAAAATGAGAACTCTCTTTTATCGGCTGAAGACCAGCAATATCACAATTTTCTGCTAAATTTTACTTGCGCAACAAATGCTGCTAATAAATGAAGTGTTAATCAATTACAAATGCTATCCCTTTCAGACTTTCTCTCCGTGAACAAGTGCTATTAGTATACGAAGTGGTTTTGAAACGAGACTAGTTCCACCACACACAGACTTCCTCTTTTATGTGACACATAGTTGTGTGGAAAAATTCGCCAACTGATTTGATAAGATCCAAATTTTCACAATCTGTAAGAAAATATTGAAAGACCCAACTTTGATGCATGATCTACTTTAAAAAAATACCACTCAGAGCAAAAAATTATTTCGCTAATATTACAACCTTGAGTAGATCTCCGAGAGAAATTCATTTATATGCAACGAAGTCTAGAGGGCTAAAGGTATTCAAACACAACAAAAATCTGGTTTGGAGAGAATTTTTTTTATCCAAGTGGCACCACCTAACCACATCCAACTTAACCAAAATTTTCATATTGCACAATCAGTAGCAAGTCAAAAGAAATCAAAAGGAACTAAGTCTACATTTAGCATAAGACCAGGCCAAAATAACATCCAGTTATTATGCACCAACTTGGCATATTCAGAACATTGTAACAAAAGTTTCATGTGATAAAACTCCTTTCCACCGCATTTTTTCAAATCAAGGTCAGAGTTCTCAACCCTTTTCGTCTCTCAAAATAGTTAATGAAGTTGTCAACCAGTGTTTCAAAAGGCAAAGGCTTTCCCCGGCTCATGAGGAAAGGAAGGAGTCATGTGGTTGCATCTCAACTCAAGCAGCGTAAATCTTAAGCTAAGTATACCTCCCACTAGCAATCCGAAACAACTACGACCCCTCCCCCCCCCCCCAATTTGAGAAGTTTTTTGGAAGTTGGAGCGCATTGTCTCCCCTTCCACAACGCTTTTATCTCTGCCTACATCTCAACGAAACTTTCAAGTTTAAAACATGTAAATTAACGAAAATATTTGACCTGATTAAGCATCCACTTGAAGCCAACCGCAGCTGAACACTGATTCTTGGAAGCACTGGTAAACAAATTCAAAATCTACATCTATCCCAATTTCAAAAAATATAAATACATCAAAAATATAAAATTATAGTCACAATATGCTTGTGAATCTATCAAACAATAGAAAAGAACATAATATTTAATAAAAAGTAAAATAAAAATACCAACCGAATAAGGCATGAGATCATTGATTAGAACTAGAATTGAGCTCTAAGTATTGATGTGGATGAATCACACTATCTTTATTTAGAACCTGCAAGAAAATAGTTTATTTGATGCCCTAATTTTTGCCATGAGAAAGCGTCGACCCTAGTTAGAACCTCCTAACTCAAAACCTAAATCGAAGCATTTAAAGAATTGAAACCCTAAACTAGAAACAACTGAAAATAGAGATGAAGGAGCTTACAATTTCAATCAATAATCAAAGCACAGTAAGAAAAGGCTGTCTCTTATTTGAACCTAGTAACTCAAAGCAGGAGCGGAAGGGTTGAACGAATAGGGGGAGGTGAGAGCCAGAACGAAAATAAAAGGGGGGGGGGGGGGATTCTAGGGAAAAGGGGAGGGAAGTCTGCCGCGTTATGTTTTTTTGATGAAAATTGAGAAAAAGCTAAATATTCTTTAGCCACAAGTCAAACAAGTTATTGAAAAAAATAAGTATTTTACCAACAAGAAAAATACTTTTGGCAACACTGATAATTTATTGTTGCCGATTTATTTATATCTTAAAATTGTTATATTACTTAAAACATTATGGCAACAAAATTAAAACGTTAGCCAACAGGAAATTTTTTGTGGGTAAAAGTTATATGATACAGCGACAACTAAATAAAGTTGTTGCCATTTATTAGTATTTAGCAACAATATCATTGTTGTTGCTAAAAGATTGTTGCAAATTATATACTTTCTTGTAGTGTTAGGCTTTGTGTACACATCATTCCAAGAAAGAGCAACATTTGTGTCGCACGGCAATACTGCGAGGCTAGCCAAAGAGGGTGGAGACCCAATATTAGCAAGCATATGCGGAGCAATGGCATCGGACGAAAAGCGCCATGAGAACGCCTACGTTAAGATCGTCGAGAAATTGCTGGAATTGGACCCAAATGATGATGAAAAAGAGGATTACAATGCCTGCTCACCTAATGTAGGATGGGTGTGACCCACGTCTATTCGACCACTTTGCTGTTGTGGCTCAAAAGTTGGGAGCGTATACACCGTGATTATGTAGATATATTGGAGTTTTTGATCGATCGATGGTCATTGGAAAACATGAAGGAATTAAGGGTGAAGCGAAACGAGTGCAAGAATTTGTGTAGGGTTACCACCTAAGATAAAAAGGTTGCAAGAGAGAGCCGTTGAGAGATCCAAGAAGTTGGAGCTCCGTGATGTGAAATTCAGCTGAATTTTCAACAAGTGTGTATATTACAAAGTTCATTTGTGAAAAATGAGCAAAAATAGCCACAGAGAGGCAAGTACAAAAGCTATGCCTAGTATAGAAGTTGAAAATTTGTAGAGAAATTTTTATAAAGTACTATCTTTTAGTGATAATTAGCTATATATAGATACTATTTGTTATATTACGTATTGTAGATACGTTTTCTGTTGTTATAAGATGTATTAGATGTATTTAAGCTACTGTATTCATGAATACAGTAGCAAAAATAGGCATGAATCAAGGAAATCCAGCTAATCAGTTGTTGTATTCGAGTGTATTCGACTGTATTCATGGCGTGAAACATGGGATTGCAGCTGGACGGATTATTGTATTCGACTGTATTCACGGTGTGAAACAGGGGATTACACTGTTTTTAAACGGAAAGTGAATCAATTAACATAATAGACTCCTAATATAACTCAACAAACTCAATTATAACACACAAAATTTGTATTTCCAGTTATAAAAAATATTCTCAACCGAAAATGCCCCAAAAACATAGCAATCTTCAGAAAAATTATATAATACATCTGAATACGTAAATTATATTAATTAAAAAAGATATATGAATACATTAATGCCATATAGCAAGACAGTGAATACAACAAAATACATAGAATACAGCGGGATATATTGAAATACAATGAAAAAAAGATAGTGAATACAATGAAATACATGGAATACAGCGAGATACATTAAATTACAATGAAAAAAAAAAGACAATGAATACAATGATATACATGAAAATACAGCGTGATACGTTGAAAATACATTGAAATATATTAACAGAAAATCAAGTTGCTCAGCCCCAAACTCCATCGTCTTTGTTCAAAAACAAACCCTAATTTCCGCCGAATTCGCCGTCGAGCAAAAACCCTCAACTCTTTCAAGTTGCTCAGCGTCATCTTTGTTCAAGAACAACCCTAATGTCGTCTCGTCAAGAGGGCCGCGATTCTGACTCGAAACTCTCAAAATTGGAGCACACTTGGTCTTGAAGATCTTTGCCTCTGCTGCTTCGTTCCCCAGTGGTGCCTCTGCGAAAGATGCCATTTTTTGAATTTGGGGCTTTTTCTGATTTTCTGAAAGTTGAAAGCAAGAAGAAGGAGAAAGCTTATACGTTTTTGGTGGCGTACAAGGAAATAATAAGGAAGAAAAAGAGGAGAAGAAAGCGGCAAAAATATGAAAGAATGAGAGAGAAAAATAATACAAAGAGTATTTTATGGCTTAAGGGTAGGAGGTAACGATAAATCGATATTTGGCTATAAAAATCAAAAGGTATCTATGAAATATAATGTATTTATTTAAAATAAATAAGGTATCAACATTTGCTATAGGAGGTAAAAATTCCAAATTTGTATTGTGGTTTGAATATGCAAATGTCCTAATTTGGTTGACTTGTACCGATGAAAAATCTCACTTCGGTAGCCGGTCGTTTAATACCATTAAAGTTACAACATGGTGATAAAAGAAGATAGGGATTTATAAAGGAGCGAATGAACCGGCGTTTGCTAATTAAATTTGGTTTTTCTCTTTTTACAAAGAATTATATTACATTAGAAACGGGGAGGGGAAATGGTTAAACGATTTGATCTTCAGATTTCACATTTAGGTTAAGTTCTAAACAGGAAATTGGGCAATAGATTGGTAAACTGGGTAAACCCTATTATGAAACTTATTTTGAGATCTAGACCGTTGACTCAGGGGATGCTATATTGATGAAATTTAAATGAGATTTGAATCCTCCACCTTAAGGGCGGAGCCAGCATTGTGACACCGCAAACCCAATAGCTTTGACTCAATCATATATTTATCTTAAAAAATTTATTTATTAGTTATTAATTAACAATTTAAAACCTATAAACTTGAAATTCTAAGTCCGCCGAGGTCACCCTCAAATCCCTAATTATATTTGGTTCCCTCCTTTTTGGTGATTACTAAAGAACAGAGTTTTCTTTTTCACCTTGATACTGAATCTGCAAGACAAGCAATGTAACAGCGGAATAGCATAATATAACATGGAAATCATACTCAAGCCTTTCGAAACATATAGTAAAATTATTACATAATATGGAAATTAAACTAAAGCCTTACATTTGGCTTCAAACACTACTTACATCGTTACCCTAATAAAATATTGTTTTATTAGTACCAGACTATAAAGTCCAGATAATAGGGAGGGGAGGGGGAGGGGGGGGGGGGGCACAATTGCAACCCACAGCCTTTACTTCCTATTTAACGTTTCAATGTCCCATAGTAATCATGCAACGTAGACCTTCCCCTTTGAGCATATACTCAAATGCTTTGTTGATCTCTGAAAATGGAACTTGGTGGGTAATGAATTTCTCCAGCTCTAGCTCCTGAAAATTTTTCCAGCTCACCAATTAGCTAAAAACATATACTGATAAATCTAGAAGAAAGATAAGTATGAAGAATGCTATGGGATAAAGTTTAACTTCTATGCCGAATAGACACAAGTAAAACTTCATTGATATTGTAAACATTCTTTACAATAAGTTATATTGTTAAGGTGTTAGAATCACCTTATTCATGTACTTGCCCACCACAGATGGAAGGTCAGTTTTGGGCTTGTAGTTGCCAAAGAAGGTGCCTTTGAGAGTCCTCTCATTCAACAGATTCATTGGATGAGTTTTGAACGCATCGTCTTTGTTTGGAACGCCAACAAGCACGGCCACACCCCAACCCTGTAATGAAATAACATTAAGTTGAACTTACATTTATCTCTACCGTGTTTGAACGTAGAAGAGATCAAGAAGATTATCAGATAATAAGTTTACATCATGAACACATTCAAAAGCAGAGATCATGGCGTTGACATTTCCAGTGCACTCGACACTTCGGTCAACACCTCCATCTGTCATCTCAGCAATGACCTGTCATCCCTCCATTAACAAAGGTAATGTTGTAAGGAGTTAACGGACACCCAACGATATGCTATGTGTAGTAGTGAAGATGTGAAGGACAAACCTGCTGGACAGGCTTATCATAATCTTTTGGATTCACAAACTCTGTCACACCAAACTTCTTGGCTGTGAAATTTTTTTAAAAAAAAAGCATAGAATCAATGCCAAAATTTTTCAGAAACCACTATGGTCATTCTTGTTCATAAGAAATCAATGCACACACCATCATTGAACCTGCTGGGATTCAAATCAATGCCAATGATCCTAGAAGCCCCAGCAATCCTAGCTCCTTCAGCAGCCTAATAATTTTGTCAAAATAACAAGAAAAACATTCTTAAATTTCACACGGCCATGACAACGAGAACTACATAAGAAAAATAGAAGGTGGAACATGTACTCACAGCAAGGCCAACAGCCCCCAAGCCAAAAATAGCTACAGTAGAACCTTTGGTAGGTTTGGCAACATTCAGAGTTGCACCAAGTCCTTCAGAATAGATGAACTCCATCAGATTTCCAATTATAACTACTCTTTGATTTAACAAATGAGTAATTGGATACAGTTCAAATCCAACCTGTTGATATCCCACAACTCAGAACGCAAACTTTGTCAAGTGGTGCCTGTGGATCAATCTTGGCGACGCATCCAGAATGGACAACGGTGTATTCACTAAAGGTGGAAGTTCCAACAAAGTGATATATCGGCTTTCCATCCTTGGAGAATCTTGTTTGACCGTCATGGATCATAACTCCCCTGTCTGTGTTTATTCTAAGGAGGTCGCACATGTTGCTTTCCTCTGATTTACAGTGTCGACACTGCTGGCATTCACCAGTGAACACAGGAAGAACATGGTCTCCTGGTTGGAAATCTGTAACACCTTCACCTACACTCTCAACAATTCTAT